ATGTGTAAAGGAAGAATACAGAGATATATTAAAAATGTAATAAATAAAGTATAGGGACGCAAAATAATAGATTTTGTCATGTTTCGAATGTTATACTGTTTTGAGAAGGGGAAAGGGGCCAAGGTGGGGGAGGGGGGGGGCATGCCTTATTGTGACCTGGGCCCACCACTGTATAAACATATCGCTTTTGGCTATCTCCATTTTCTGATAACGAGATTTTTATGTAAATCTGTTCTTGGTTTTAGGGGGTTGGTGTCTAGTTTTTCATTCAAAGAGGTCTAGCTACCTGACATAAAATAGTTGTGCATCTGCTCCTTGTTGAGTTTCTTGGTAATGAACATCACTTGCGCCGCCTTTCGGAGCATTCTCTGCAGCTTGCCCATGGTCTCCCACCACGTGTTCTGATCTGCCTCCTGGAGCCGCTGGTGGCGCTACAAGCAAGTCAAGACAAACTAGATTAATGAGAAGCACAAGAACAATCTAAATGAATATTTAAAAAATTAATGTCGTAAAAATACATGATATTCTAGCCCATGCACGCCAGCAGTGCAAAATGTTTAAATGCATTTATTATCCATTGACTTCCATATTTTGTTTCCGTTCTTTTATTTTGATAGACAACAAAGACCTTCTTTTTCTTGGTACAAATAGAGAAGCATGCCAAAAACAACTTCAGTTTTTGTATCATGTTCAGGCTAGGCCTTAAGTGTCAGACTTGTGCACATTTTTGTAAACATGTTTAACATTTCTTTTTAAAATCCGATATGGCAATTTTATCCATACTTATTGGTCTCACCTTGTTATTGAAATTTGTAAGGATCGAGCTGATTGGTTGTAGAATGTACACTGGTGGAACAGCATTGTCGTCACGTTTGTACCAGAGGTCAATGAGATCCAGGTCACTGGGGACGTTTTTGATACACTCTCGCAGTTTCTCGAATTCTGACGCGAGGATTGTCGTTGGTATAGGTCGGTAGCCATACTTCTGCCCAAGTAACACCTAAATGAATTGATTGGAGAAAGAAGACGACTGTTATGAGTTTCGGTAGTTTGAGATTCATTTTGCTCATTGAATAAAATCATCAGACATGGAACATTTCATCAGCATTTGGGCAATTAACCCACCAGTAACATTAGATTAGATTATATATCTCATTAATAAAGTGTATGCGTATGCAGCACAGTGTGAACGTTGCTATGAAGCAGAATAATTTTTTTAATCTCTTAACCCTAGTTTACATGTACTTTTGTGAACACCGTGTATCAAAATAAGAACGTGTGTGCAGATAGCAGCAGCAGCTGGGGTCGGGAGAGCCCGGTTCTGTCAGCGAGTTTGTTTTCATACTTAGAATATCTGTTCTGTGCTATACATTGTTTATCTGGCGCAACTAGGACTCTATTCCCAGAGATCAGATCAATCCAACTAGATCGACCTAACTCCCTGGGGGTTCACGCTAAATAGCTTTCAGCCGAGCGGGCACGAAAGTTAATTACCCCCTTACAGCTTGTAGTAGGCGGGACGGACATTTAAGCCGGATTATCTGACGGTAATCTAGTGAGACTCCCCATGGGGACAGATCGATCTAAAATCTATGGGAATACGCCCTAGGACATAGGTAGCGCAGTACACATTTAGGTAAAATTCCTGCAGAAAATTCCTTGCACTCTGTGCATGCATTCACAAATACATTCTTTAATCCCCGTTTTCATTTTATTTTATTTTTTATTTTCAATTTTATTTTATTTATTGATTTTTTCTTTAGTTTTGGGTGATATGCTAACACTTTTTTGCACCAGAATTTAGTTCTACATGCATTACGTTTCGATTGACAAACACTTCCTAAAAACTTATTCGTTCACTCTTGGTCAATACTAAAAACAGCATCACGACCAACCAAATCTGAAACAGGAAATGAATTCGCCGTGTCTGCTGTGTCCTATAAATCTCGTTCTCTTTCACACTAAAGCGCCACAGGGCAAAACTTTCATAAATCACACTTTAATCAATAATGCAACGATCTTAGTTTAAATTAATTCACAGACTTGGTGAATTTCGCCTCGCAGACAAAGCTAAAGCAATGGTGCAATTTCTCATTAACTTAGATTTAATTAACCGGTAAGTAATTCCGTACATTTTGTGTTGCATTAGACTAAGGGAACTCGGCGGGAATTCCATTGGGAGACCAAAAGGGTCAAGTTCACTTGCACTCTGAAATCTCAGAAGACAGTTTATACTATTATCAAGAATCCCGATGTAAATTAGATAGTAAGTGCGCCGTTTACTTGGCTTTGTTACTAAATAATTAACCCAGGAACTTCCTCTGCTTTGAAATTTCAGTTACTTGTATGGTGCCCTGAACTTCAGGCCAAGTGGGTACTGCCAGAATGTTGGCCTCCGTGTATCCAATGGATGTGCAGCTGTACTGGTAAAATACAGCTGTGCCTTACAGCGCTTAGTTCAAATGGCGGAATGCCTCAAGCACGATGAGTGTAGCATGTACCGGTACATACAAGGTTTTGGGAGGTATGATACTCGCTTTTTTGCAGAAGAGTAGTATGCATTTTTACAATTGGTCGCTTGCAAGTTTATACGTTGTTTGTTGCACCGAACACAACTGGTGCATTATTTCATCACGTATGAGTTCGCGTATGGAGGCCAAACGAACACGTTGACGGCTCAAATGTCAAAGTCATTTTTTCCGCTTCTTTAAATGAATTTCTAGAACTACCCACTCCATCTGTATATTGTTTGAAGTTCTTTAATCAAAACTGAGGTACGGGTATGATAATTGTCAATGACGGCATGAACTTACCACGAAGTTTGGCCCCATTGATAATCTCTGGCAGTTGCTAATCTCCTGCATACAGAGATCGGTGGTCATGTGATCATCTGTAGCCTCGTCTCGGACACCCCAGCGCATGTCCACAACCTGGAAAATAAGACAAGAATTGTCAGTGGTCAGATATGCGTCAAGGGAATTGGCTTAAGAGACACGTTGAGTCGGTGTGACGCGAGATAAAGTCCCCCATGACATAGACTTCGTTACCCATTCATTTTTACAGGTAAGCATTGCCCTACATTTTGCCCCACTAAGCTCAGGCTAACCTTAACCATTATAATCATATGGAGGGCGGACTTTCTGTTACACTGATTCTGAGTTTTGTTACACCGGTGTCACGTGCACGGTCCGTTCTGCGTGAACCGTCCGCCTAACAGCCACTGTGGAATGGAAAGCGCACCAGCTTTAACACATTTGAACGTTTTTTAATGATTCCCTCCTCTTAAAAAGGCTCTGTTCTCACAACTTTTAGATCGATCTATCACCGCGGGGAGTCTCACTAGATTACTGTCAGATAATCCCCCTTAAGTGTCCGTCCCCACCTACTACAAGCTTTAAGGGGTAATTAACTTTCGTGTCCGCCCGGCTGACAGCTATTTAGCGTGAACCCCCAGGGAGTTAGGTCGATCCGATGTAGGTCGATCTAATCTATGAGAATGGGGTGTTAGGGGCTTGCTCAAACTAAAATCGTCCCCTTGTGCTTTTTAACATCATAGGTTATACCAAACTAAACCACAGCTCAAAACAAGGTCATAGTAAAAAAGGGAATCTATATAGGAACGCTCCATGTCGGCTTCTCAAACAAGGTCTCGTGAACGTCAACTATTTCTACATTCAATGGTAAGACGATGTTCGAGGACTGGCGTTGTGCTCGATGAAATGCATTTTTTTACGGCTCAAAGGCTATCGACTGTAATAACGGACATTTACATGTGCATCCAAACTGGCCCTCTTCATGACAAGGTAGAAAGTTTGCATTTGATTCTTACTTTCCAACGAAGCATCCGCAGCTCCGCGGTAACTTCGCTGACTTGGATGCAGGTAATCGCTCCTACCCGGGTTCGAATTCCAGTTTGTCCGGCGCTCCCGGCAAATTAACTTTTTGCAAAAAAAGCCGGTATAGTTTAGCACGAGTGAGCGATTTGACAACATTTTGCTGTTCGTTATCATAAAGTCTGCCTCATCAATAACACTTCCTTACTCTTCATTTAAAGGTTCTTAAAATGATGCTTTGGCGAGGATGGTCACTGATTTCTATCCTTTACCAGCTACACAACAGATCAAACTTATATATTTGTTAAACCGGCATTGCGCCAAGTACGTCATACTGCTCTTTCATCAGCAAGATAACTTTTTATTATTATTATTATTTTGAAAGTCACGTCACCGCTATTGCTTTACCCAATCTTACATTTTGTTAGTTTTTTAATACCCTCCCCTCCTCTTGGGTCTTGGTTCTCAAGACTGTTTGTATTGTCTTACAGTACCCGGGGCAACTCCACAATGGCCATTAGAAGTGGAAAGACTACTCAAAACCAAAACTGCCAAAACGTGAACCGCTTTAGCTCTCGTTGTGCTCTATAACTTCACAGGTGAAGTCAGACGTAATCTCATTGAAGACCAAAATGAAAATAAAAGCATCTAAAATCATCTGACTCAGTACGTTCCGGGCAGTTTTATCAGTAAAAGCGACCAAAATTGATTTGATTCGGCAGCTTTCCCGCTAAAACACCACGTTATACCGCTTGTTAACGGCGTTCGTGAAAAGCGCACTAATTTTAACACATTTGAACGTATTTTAATGATTCCCTCCTCTTAGGGGCTTGCTAAAACTAAAATCGTCACCCTGTGTTCTTTAACATCATAGGTTATACCAAACTAAATCTCAGCTCAAAACAAGGTCATAGTAAAAAAGGGAAGCTATCTAGGAACGCTCCGTGTCTGCTTCTCAAACAAGGTCTCGTGAACATAATCTATTTCAACGTTCAATGATAAAACGATGTTCGGGGACTGTCGTTGTGCGGGATGAAATACATTTTTTACGGCTCAAAGGCTATCGAGTGTAATTACGGACATTTACATGTGCATCCAAACTGGCCCGCTTCATGACACGGTAGAAAGTTTGCATTTGATCAGCAGCTTCCCAACGAAGCATCCGCGGCTCCGCGGTAACTTCGCTGACTTGGATGCAGCTCGTCGCTCCTACCAGGGTTCGAGTTCCAGAACGTCCAGCGTGACTTTTGTTGCGGGAAATCATTTCTAAATTTTTTCTTTGGTTACTATAAGAGGAAACTCGTACATACGGAGGGTGTACGGGTCACTCACGGCGCAATCGGTAGCGTGCACGGCTGTTAAAAAACATCCAAACACATCATCTACCATGGTAACGAGTCACGAGTAGTCACGAGTTCGAATCCCGGATGAGGCCTGTCACCAACCCAAAGATACGAGTTGGCCACGTGATTAGGAAGGCGCGAAAACGATTGCAGGCTCTCGTGGGTCCCGACAAATTACCTTTTGCAAAAAAAGCCGATATAGTTTAGCACGAGTGAGCGATTTGACAACAACATTTTGTTGGTCGTTATCATAAAGTCTGCCTCGTCAATAACACTTCCTTACTCTTCATTTAAAGGTTCTTTAAATGACGCTTAGGTGTGGATGGTCACTGATTTCTATTCTTTACCAGCTACACAACATATCAAACTTGAATATACGCTAAACCGGGATTGCGCCAAGTACGTAATACTACCCTTTTATCTGAGAATTTTGTCTTCACGGTGGGATTATCAGCAAGTCACTTTTTTCGAAAGTCACGTCATCGCTCTTGTTCACCCGATCTTACATTTTGTTAATTTTTTCAATACCCTCCACTCCCCTCGGGCCTTGATTCTCAAGACTGTTGGCATTGTCTTACAATACCCGGGGCAACCCCACAATGGCCATTAGAAGTGACAAAGACTACTCAAAACCAAAACTGCCAAAGCGTGAACCGCTTTAGCTCTGGTTGTGCTTTATAACTTCACAGGTGAAGTCAGACGTAATCTCATTGTAAACCAAAATGAAAATAAAAGCATCTGAAATCATCTGACTCATTACGTTCCGGACAGTTTTATCAGTAAAAGCGACCAAAACTGATTTGATTCGGTAGCTTTCCCGCTATAGCACCAGGTCATACCGCTTGTAAACGGCGTTCGTAAAAAGCGCACCAGCTTTAACACATATGAACGTTTTTTAATGTTTCCCTCCTCTTAGGGGCTTGCTAAAACTAAAATCGTCCCCTTGTGCTCTTTAACATCATATGGCGTTGTGCAGGATGAGATACATTTTTTACGGCTCAAAGGCTATCGACTTTAATTACAGACCTTTTCATGTGCATCCAAACTGGCCCTCTTCATGACAATAACTAAATGGAGGGTTTGCTTTCTGTTACACAGACCTTCAGTTTTGTTACACCCATTATAGGAAGAAATTTTAGCCCAAAAGTTAGTGAAAACTTAAATACCAAAATTCTTATCTTGCCTGACTCAACATTTATTGATAGTTTTGAAGTTAAATGAAATATGGATGCTGTTTTATAAAAGAATGTCCCGGGACAACACTTACTTTCTCTATAATAAAATTAAATTACTTTGACTGAATAAGACCAAATTTTAATCTTTAAGTAATGAACATATTCCGAGCTAAAGTTATATTTAGTGAAATAAGCCCAAGGAGAGTTATATTTCACTTGTGTGACAAGCCTCAACGTGTATAATGTAACAGCACTTTCTGACACGTTACTTCGATACATCTTTTAAAACCACTTTGCTGGGACGCCGATATGTCTCAGGATCAGTCGACCGTGCCCAAACACAGAGAATCACTTTTCAGATTGTCAGGTTTTAGATCGCCATCCACGGAATTACCTTTATCATGAAAACGCCAAACTGTCCTTTGTCATGTCTGTGTGTTGTTGAATGGTTCGCAAATCAGGCGCATAGAAAATAAATCGCGCTTCAAGTTGGCGTACCAAACAACAGCCACGGTTTTTGTCGCGCTTGGCACGTTTTTGGGATTTGTAGCTGCAGTAAAACCCCCTTTACACTGGACGGCGTCCTTTCTGCGTCCTTTGTGCGACCATGAAACTGGCCAGGACGCCGTCGGACGCTCAAAGAACGCACAGTGATCGCCAAGGTCGCACAAAGAACGTTCAAGCATCGCCGAGGACGCCATGGACGCCGCGAAGTTTTGAGCATGTTCAAAACAATCGCAGAGAGAACGCGATGTAGGATGGTCGATCAATGGACGCAGAAAGGACGCACGGGCATCGCCGTAGTCGCAGAGAGAACGCACAAGCATCGCCGCGGTCGCAGAGAGGACGCACAAGCATCGCTTTGGTTGCAGAATGAAAACTCAAAGATCGTCCAGTGTTTGACACGTAGAACGTTATTTTTTTCACTCTCAAACGGGGCCGTGCTGAGGTATTTTTCACCAGAAAGGAATTCTAAGGGTAACAGTGGTCTCATAGCAGCCTCCGCTTGTTTTTTCCCTAAAATTCATGAAACGATCCATTTTTTGAGGTTATTATTAAACGAATATTTTGCCTTTTTTACAAGATTAATTGTCAGAACTTTTTGCAGAATGCTTCATTTGAAAACAGATTCAAACATTCTATGTTGTGTCAGTCATACTTTCTCGTTTTCGGTCCCTGTCCATCCTTCTTATAAGGATAACAATGAGCATCTGGTTGATTATCAGTCCATGCAGACCTTGCATCACTATAGTTTAAAGCGTTTATTCCCATTTATTTGTTTTGTGTGCTGGAAATGTTCTTTATTGGATGACCTGGTTAGAACCGATGAAAAGAAGAGTTAGAATAACGCTCATCGGTCAAGCAGGATGCAGAATGATCGTAGAATAGACGCCACTGATCGCCGATGAAGGTACAGAGAACGCAGCAAGAATGCTCAATGGTCTCTCAAACATCGCAATGGACGCCTCGGGTTGCACAGGGGACGTACAGTGGAGACAGGCAGGTTGCTCGCAGTTTTACAGGTAAAATCAAGATTCGGTCGTTCAAAGGACGCACAAGGGACGCAGACGCCTTTACA